TTCTGAGTATTTGGGAGGTTGTGTATATAGGATCTTGAATCTTGGCCTGATGTTTCCAAACACCTAGTTGTTTTATTAAGTATGTACCTGCCTTCCGGAGGCATGAGTTCTTCATCCCTGTGGGTGAGCGAGGCGCCCAGATACTGCACTGAATGGATAGGCCAGGTGCAGCCCTGCCCATGATGCTAAACCACATGGGAGTATGTCACATTTGCGAAAGCATGACAATGCCAGAGAAAAACCCATTTATGTATTTTATGTATCCACTGGCTGTAGTGCAGACAAAAGGCGCCAATGCATTGCCCTGCTCTTCTGCTTCTTGTTGTTGTGTTCGTGTAGAAGAAGGTGTAGATGTACTTCCTCCCTTTAGTCCCAAAAGCACCCCAACATTTGCTTTTCATTGCACGAGAAAAACAAGGTCACCGGTGTCCTAACTGTCTAGCTACATATTTTACATTGGTGTGGACTGCCTGCTGTTATAAGCCAGGGAGGGTTTTGATCCAGATGTCTGCATAACTGATGGTGTACACACTGTTTAGGAGTAGATTTTGATCTTGTAGATTTGGTATATATTGTACTCAAAATTTTTTCAATTGTGAAAGAATACACAAAACATAAAAGTTACCATCTTCACCATTTTGAAGTGTACAGTTCAGTACTGTTAAGTTTATTCCCGTTGTTGTACAACCAATCTCTAGAATTCTTTTTACCTGGTAAAACCGAAACTCTGTCCTCATTAAACAACACTCCCTATTCCTGTCTTCCCAGCCCCTGGGGACACTGTTCCACTTTCTGTCTCTATGAACGTGACCACTCTAAGGACGTAATAGTGAAATCATACAGTATTGGTCTTTTTGTGACTGGCTTATTTCACTTAGTTAGCATATAGCATGCTTTTTTAAAAGGTAAAAAAAGTAGGTTTGGGGGACTTCTGTTATGATTGGCTTGTAATATTATTTTGGTTAAAAATGCAGTCATTCATTGTAACCTCAGTCTACCCCAGTGGTTCTGCAATCTATGTGGGAATCAGAAATCATGTGGGTGGTTTAAAAAATACACAATCTCCTGGGCTGCACTCCAGATCTTGTGAACCAGAATCTCCTGGGGCCCTGGGGATCTGTGTTTCTTAAAAAGTCAGCTGCAACTAGCCCGCCACTGGCCCCAACTTACTTCTGGTGATGGGGTTCTGATTTTAGACGTAGCCGAGTGGGTAGGGGGCAGCTTTCTCTGTCTCTACAGCATCAGCTGGAACAGAGTCAGCACCACCAGGGTGATGGTTCAGGAATTAAGGGAGGTTGGGAGTTTGACTATCTGCCCTGATGCTGAGAAGTAAGTAAGGCCCTTGTCTCCTGTGTCTCCTGAACAGTTTTGTCCAAGCTGTGCTTGTGATACTCTCTGTCTTCTTGTACTTGTTTGCCTACAAAGAGTACCTCGCCTGCCTCGTGCTGGCCATGGCCCTGGGCTGGGCGAACATGCTTTACTACACACGGGGGTTCCAGTCCATGGGCATGTACAGCGTCATGATCCAGAAGGTGCGTTGGGGGCCCTCCAAGCATCAAAGACACGCTGGCCGAGAGGGCCCTCAGACAATGCCCATTTACCAGACAGGGAAACAGGTCTGGGGAGCAAAAGGAATTCGCCCAAGGGACAGGCCACTGCTCTTACCTCTGAATGCCACTGTCTCCATTTGCCTTTGGTCAGCTTTAAGGCTCCAGACCTTGAAATGCCTGGGCTTGTGGGGCATTTAGTGAGGGATATGCTTTGTGAAGGTATGTTCTGACCCCCAAGCAGTGGTGTGCTGGTACGTATTTGACAACTGGCTCTCTGGGAAACACACACACACACACACACACACCACACACACACACACACCACACACCACACAAATACATACATATGCTTATTATAAAATTTACTATATAAAGGATGTGTAGCATACAATTTACAACAATAAAATATACAATACTCTTTACTGTAATTCCCACATAGCTAGTTGAGTCTCATTTAATAATTATAACTCTAATAATCGACTAATGTTGATTTTTGTTGAATGCTTGTATCTGTTGCCAACCTATGGTTGCAATGGACACATTGAGTGTTATTCCAACATAAATGGTTGATATTCTTTATTTTAAGGAGTAAGATGAAGGTGAGACAATGAAGACTTATGTTGGATCTTCAGTTGTTTGTCTATGATGTGAGCCACTTATTTGCTGAATTGGATAATAGTTTTTAAATACTAGAAGACTATTTCATTAATATGATTGTGCTATTTGCTATGTAGCAGCTCTAGATACGACACATTTATAAGTTTAATCTGCTTTAACATTTTCTCCATCACTGTCTTAAGTCTAGATCTACACAATCAACAAAACAATGAGTCAATCTCTGATATGTAGCATTCACCAATTTCTGTGGTGTAAATACTCCCACCCTAACTGATTTCAAGCTACCAATATGATGTCACTGAACATGGAGCCGGGAAGAGATGGACAGTAACATTATTAACATAATAGTATTTCCACCATATGACTATGATAGATGTAAATAACCTTAAGCGCATAGATAATTGTAAAATGTAGTAAAATAACTAAGAAGCCATGGGTTTTGAATATTTATGATCTCTGTTTTTAATATAAATTATTTACTTATAGGTTTATATTTAATTTTTAATAGCGGCTGTGTTTAAGGACCAGCTCACGAAATTCATGAAAATGTAACAGTCGGCTCTCATGAGCTGGTATGAGCTAGCTCCAGCACACCACTGCCCCTGGGAAGTGTGAGAACTCCAGAAGTGAGACTGTGAAGAAAGGTGCTCGTGGACAGGGCGAATCAGCAGGGACTGAGACAGACTGTGTTTCAGGAGGGAGTGGGGGCGGGCATGGTTAGGGTGGGAGCCCGGAGAGCGTGGGAAGCACTGAGATCAGCATACACTGAATGTGTGCACAGACCTTACCCTCTCATCACGTTTCTTTCTTCGTAGGTCATTTTGCATGATGTTCTGAAGTTCTTGTTTGTATATATCGTGTTCTTACTTGGATTCGGAGTCGGTAATTAATTTATAAATACTAGTAACTTCCACATTTGTAAAGTACTTTATACGGATATCAAAATGACACAGCACTTTGCAGCCTCAGCAACAATGATAGGAGCTGCCTGCAGAGCCCTGGCTGTGCTTAGCATTCTCCAAGCATTCGCTCTTTCACTTCTCTCACCATCTCAGTCAAGGGGGAAGCATCATCCCTGATCATAAGGTAACTGAGGTTTAGATTCCAGGATTTGAACCAGGCTGGTCACTCTTACCCTTCTCCACTGTGGGATATGCGTCCCACTTTCACATCCATCCATGTGACTCTCACAACCTGAGACAGGCTGGGCAGCTGTTTTTGGCTCCATGCTACATAGGGGAAAACTACAGTTCACAGAAATTTGATGGATGGTCTTTGAAAAATGTAAGGAAATTAATGCATCAAGGTAACCTCCTTTGGCTCTCCACATTACGTTTCTCTCACAGTTTGCTTCCAATAGATGTGTGACAGCCTCTGGTCTTCTGGGGACCAGGGATAGGGAGCCCCCTCTTAAAACCTCTCCATTTACAACAGAGGGAACTGCACAACCTGATTTTGCTTCTAACCTCTGCATGGGCGATATGGTTTTGTTTTTTTCCCCATGACAGTTTTTTCCCCCCATTGATCACTGGCATTTGAAAGTAGGCAGATGCTCCCATCTGCCTGGTACCTTTCCTGTGTCATAATTTGCTTATTTATTTGATCCTTCACTTGCTTGTTTATTCATCCATCCATTTACTTACTCATTAATTTGAGTAAGTAAATCCATCCAGCTGCCAACCAGCCAGCCAGCCAGCCAGCAATGAGCCACTGCTATAGTCTGCTGGAAAGAATAGAAGAAAGAACCTTGGCTTTGGCCAGAGGATCTCACCCCAGAGCATTAGGAGGACACTCAGGACATCACAGTGTTGGGGAGATGACCCAGACTACAGGAAGTCAGGAGCTCAAAGCCTAGCTGGGGAGCCAGAGACACACATAGATTATAATTGGCAGCTCTGCAAGGCTGCGAGTGGTCAATGGCCGAATGGTGGGGTAGAGGAGGGAGAGAAGAATATGGGCTTTGTAAGGCAGGAAGGGATTCCTGCAGGAGGTCAAGGAAGAGAACCAGCTTGATGAGGCTTCTGGAAGAGCTGGGCCTGGAGATGGAGCTTAACTAGCCAGAGGGAAGGAGGCAGCAGAGCTATAGTGTGTGGGTTTTGGGGGGAGCGGGGAGAGGCTTGTGTGTACGTGCAAGTATGTACAAGATTGTTGGGTAATTAACCAGCAGAGAGGCTAACGAGAACACCCTGTTTTGTCCTCCGAGCCCTGGCCTCGCTGATTGAGAAGTGTTCCGATGACAACAAGGACTGTAGCTCCTACGGCAGCTTCAGTGATGCTGTGCTAGAACTCTTCAAACTCACCATAGGCCTGGGCGACCTGAACATCCAGCAGAACTCCAAGTACCCCATCCTCTTTCTGTTCCTGCTCATCACCTACGTCATCCTTACCTTTGTCCTCCTCCTCAACATGCTCATTGCACTCATGGGAGAGACCGTTGAGAAGATCTCCAAGGAGAGTGAGCGCATCTGGCGCCTGCAGGTGAGCCCGGTGAAGACTTCGGTGTGGGCCTTCATGGGAACTCAGTTCCGCTCATGGTATTCACAGCCAGAAGCACCTGTAGTCTGGGGGTGGGTGGCCTGGGAATCCACATAAGCCTCCTGTGCTTGGCCAGGTTTGAGGAAGTGTTAGTTTAGGGCCAATAGCATGTGTGAGAGGAACTCAGGCTTAGAGGGTGCTCATCTCAGAGTCAATGGTGTGATATGTGGCTGTTGAAGTGTGACCTTAGGTTACATTATGAGGAGAATAGGGCATAGCACAATGGAGGTGACAATTCTGCTCTCATCCATCCTGGCCTTGACACTCCTCACATACTGTGGGCCTTACATGCTGAGGACACTAACCCACAGGAATATTCAGAGGTGGTGATCAGACTTGGGAGAGGACTGGAAACCATGCCTCTCAAGAAATGGTGTTGGAACTGGGGTTGAAGAAGGTAGTATCTCTTCAGATTATCTGCAGAGCTCCTTGTGAAAGAGGGAGCAACTTCCTTCTGTGGCCTCAAGAGGCAGAACTGAGGTAGATGGGGCAACTGCAGAAGGAAATCTTTGATTTGACACAAGTTTCTAATTATTAGGGTCTCATTAATTGGCTTGTTGACAATATTTAGAAGTGCTTGGACAAATTATTGCCAAGAGAACTGCCAAGAGGATTCCTAGCTTGGGATGGAGGCGGGACTACATGATGTCTGAACTTCCCTTTACTGTGGAATCCCAGGATCCTAACATTTTCAGTTAGGAAGCACCTGGACTTCCAGAAGCATTGTTTATGCCACATTTAAAGCAATTTGAGCCCCTTTCCCAAACTTTCTGGTTTTTCATTTTTGAAAACTGTGGTTTAGCGGAACCCCCAGGATCTATGCATTAAGCATCCAATGGGGGTGGAGTGGGCTGTTTGGTGGTGTGTGCGTGTGCACTTGTGTGCATATGTATATGTGTGCATGCACTTGTGTGTGCACTTTATGAGTGCATGTGTATCTATGCACTTTGTGTATGTGCACACTTGTGTGTGTGTGTGTGCGTGTGCGTGCAGGTGTGCACACTCATCCACAACTGTGCTCCTGGGCTGGCCCCTCAGCAATGTGCTTAGGCTTGTTTCTGTCCCCAGAGAGCCAGGACGATCTTGGAGTTTGAGAAAATGTTGCCAGAATGGCTGAGGAGCAGATTCCGGATGGGAGAGCTGTGTAAAGTAGCAGAGGAAGATTTCCGGCTATGTCTGCGGTAACAAAGGGAGAAAGGGCCCTTTGGCAGGGGTCTTTCTGTGGGTCAAGGGAGCCGAGTTGGTGAATGTTAGAGAAACAGTACTGCCACTTGCATAGCTGTGGTCTATTTTAGACTCTGCGGAAGGTGGAATTTGCTCTTTCCGAGTCACTGGCTCTGGGACGAAGCTTCCTGAGTTTGGAAGGGAGAGGAAAGGAGACTGTGCCAGCAGCAGGTCCCCTGTATGTCATTTTGGAGGGGCCTCCACTGCCTCTCCTTCTCCCTCTCCAGTGTCTGGTTTAGAAAAGATTTGTCAGCCTGGAGCTCTTTGTCCTTCTGTGTACCTGATATGAGTTCACGTGACACCAGGGGACCCAAGGCACATTTTGTCACTGGCAAATGGAAAATGACAGCTACTTTTGACAGATATCAAGCCCTTTGATTTAAAAAAAGTACTTGCACATGCCATGACCACCTTTTCTGATGAATTCACCTCTTCCTACCACAATCCGACTGCCTAATCCAACAAACTACCTTCTTTGAGTAAAACTGTACCTTAACCTACTTCTCTGAATTCCCATGCTGCCCCAGGAGCCATCATTTCCGACTATCATTATTAGTCTAACAGACATCTCTAATTTTGACACCCTCACTCTGGAAGTGTTCTCTGAACTCTAGCCAAACCATCGTCTTCAGTTGCGATCCAATTCTATAGACACTGACCACTCTTTTGGGGATTGAATTCTAACCACCTTTCAGTGCAGCCTGAACCCTAGTTAACCATCTATGAGTTTAAACCTCAGGCCCTTCCATCTTCTCAGCCCGGGCCCTCCTTTCCCCCTTCTCTCTCCCCTTCCCCAAGGACTGCCTCTCACCAGTCAAGCACCCTGCTGCTATCTGAAGATGTCCCCTTTACACCTCTCTGAGTTTCTAGGTCCCACACAATGGGCAGAGACTGATCCCTGGAGGCCTGGCAAAAGGGGGAAGTGGGCAGGTTTGAAACCCTAACAATGCTGATGCAACTTTGTGGGGCGGGAGTGTTCCTGATTCCTGGGACAGACAGGAGGGGAACTGTCTAGGACACCCCAAACACCGTGCTATTTGTTTGCATTTAATAAGGTGCAGTTACGAAATAGAATGATTATCACACTTACAGGATCAACGAGGTGAAGTGGACGGAATGGAAAACACACGTCTCCTTCCTCAATGAAGATCCCGGGCGCGTGAGACGGACAGGTACTATTGCTGTTAGGAAATACGATGACTGCTCCTGTCTGACCATGTGACTTTGGGCAAATCGAGTTTGAGGGCCCTGATTTTTCCCATCTGTAAAATAGAAGGGTTGTGTTAAATTGGTTCTCAGGTCCCTTCCAGCTCTGATGTTTTATAATCCTCATTAGAATAGCTTCTAAAAATCAGGTGGTGAAAAACAAAAAAAAAAGCAAAACAGAACAGGTGGTGCACCAAGATAGGGAAGCATATCTTGCAGAGTGCTGCATTTTTAAAATAGTGTTTTGTTTTGTTTTTAAGCAGATTTCAACAAAATCCAAGATTCTTCCAGGAGCAACAGCAAAACCACCCTCAATGCATTTGAGGAAATAGATGAATTTCCGGAAACTTCGGTGTAGAAGCAGAACCCAGTGCTGGTGTGAGCATGGGCCGTCTAATGGTGCAGGACAGGTCCTGTACTCCACGCAGAGGGCTTTGCAGAGTGATGGAGCCTGGCTCTGCCTGCCTAGAAGCAGAAAGCACCCTCATGTGGAGCAGTGGCTGAACTGAGAAGCAGTTGTTAGTTTGTCTGAGTGGAAAACACCCCGGTGAAGAGTTTGTGTAAACCTATGGCCAGCAGTCCTGGGCCTGGGATCCCGGAAGTCCTGGGTGAAGTCCCTGGGTTTACCAACTGCAGGTCAGCTTGGCTGGGAGAAGGGTGGTAGGGAAGCAGCTGGGGCCTGAGGAGCAGAACTTTCTTTCTGCCAACATTTCCTTGATAACATCCAGCCCCAGCCCACACATTCCACTGTCTCTCTTACTGTGACTGGGTCCTCTGAATTTTAGAGACTCTTGATCCCATCCCAGAACAAAGACAGGACTGGACTAAGTCCAATATCCTGGAGGAGGAGGGAAGTAAGTTATTTTCATGCCCTTCCAAAACCTTCAGGGAACAGGCAACTACCCTTGGAGTATGTGTTCCTTGGCACCCCAAGGCTCAAACTGTCTCAAAGTGAGAGACGTTTTTAGTAGTGTCATTAACACAGGTTTTTATTTTTAATAGAGAAAAGACATTTCAGTTTTAAACGAAAATGACGTCCGATGAAATACATGATTTTAAAACTTGAGAAATAAGTTTTAGGATTTGAGACTGGATGTAAATAGTATGAACTTGGCCTCAGGGTGGCCAAAGCCAGGACAAAAACCTTTTCTTTACACACACAAAAGTCCACATGAGGCGTGCCAGGCAGGGCCTGCCTGAGTCACTGTAATCTGGAAGAAAGAGCTTGGCTCTTTTCCTTATACTGGCCCTGCAATCGTCCATGCCTCCGAGCTGGGATCGTGGCATCATCTGAAACAGAAATAGCAGCTGCTCTATTTATAGGGTCTTAAATCTCAGAGGTTACTATTCCACATCAGTATTTTTCATTGGAGGAATTTAACAAAATACCTGGAATGCTCTGGTATTAAATATTTTTATTAACTGTGAATTTGGAAGCGGAGGAAAAGGTATATGAGAAAGGGGCACTTGCCAAAACGTGGGGCTTGTTTTTAGATCCTCATCCTCTGATTTTTCTCCCCCTGAAATTATACAGAGTCAGTTTTTGGAGGCAGAGGTAAAGTGGAGATGGAAGAAATGTTCCAGATTACTGGAGCTTAAACAACCAGAAAAGCTACCCTACCTCAGTTAATTGGGTGAAAGGATTCATGTGGGAATTTTTGAGGTAGAATCATGAAGATGTTAACCATGAATTTTAATTTTAATCAGCACAAAAATAAATTTGGCCTTTAGACAACTTGGCAGTTGGCTACTTAATTTGACTTGAGCAAAATGAGACGTGTTGGCCAAGCAGTCACTCTGGGCCCATTTCTCCGCTCTGGGCTGTTCTGTGCACCAGCTTACCTGGGTGGGGAGAGACTTGGCCTTCGTGCCCTGGATGGGCTGGGTCAGGGAGAGACGGGATAGGTCGAGGATGCAGCCTCAGAACTGCAGAATCCATAGCAGCCCCTGCACTGCCAGATGACTCAGGAGCCAACCAGTGCTTTAAGCGGCAGTGGTCAGACCAAGCTGAGGTATGAGCACGGGTAACAGGGACTAGGCATGTCCTCTGGATAAAGGAAGATTTGGGGGGGATTGTCATGGAGGCAGGAGGAGCAGATGTGTCCCAGATGTGCAGAACTAGTGCCAAAGATTGGAAATTTTAGGGAGAAAGATTTTGGTTCAGTTCAGCCCAGTAACTGCTCCAGATATTTCAGATGGTTAAACAGAAGCTGGTTAAGCACTTATTAGGGATAGTGCTCAAGATCACAGTCAGATACACTTTAGGGGTCTTTAAGTCTAGAGATCAGCATCCTCTCTCTGGAGTTACCTGTTTACATCTATCCAGAGCACATGTCTTGGTTTGAAGAGCAGCCATTTGGGTCTATGGCACCACGCTCTACACTGCGGAGCTGGAACTTCCAAAATTGGTTTATTCTGATAGGAGGGATAAAGCCATTTCCACTTTCTGCTTGAAAAGTGGGGAGGTTAGGCAAATAGAAATCAACAATGGGATGTTTGCCTTCTCACATGTGTGAAGAGCTGCATCCTGTGCAACTGAATGGAATTTGTTGGCAGGACCTTTTTCTGTATGGGGTATTCATCCCCCAGAGGCTTTTAGCCTAGATGGTCTGACCTAGGTAGGTTTACCAAGGCAAAGAGAAGCAATGAGTCAAAGAGTATTGGTTTAAAAGAACCAGTTCCTTTATTTTATGCCTAGAGATAAAGCTCAGAAAGGAAAGTAGACTTATTCAAAGTCATGCAGGAAGCCATATTAGAGATGCTGAAGCTGGAGTGTTCTGATTCCTGGGCCACAGATATATATTCATTATTAGCACAGTTATTCAGTACATTTGAGTCTGCCTTTGTGGTTGGCATATGTCAAGGGGCTAGGGCTTTTTGTTCAGATGATTCATGTTGGCAGCCGATATTGTCCCTATGGTTTCTACAATATGTTTAAAATTCAAGTGTGCATACAGGTGTGCACAAAACCACACACACACACACACATGCGTGCACACACACACCACGCCACACTGAATCCATGGATGTATCAGGACTCCATGATTTACACTTCAGTCATTTAAGGGAAAGGCTTTTTCCAGAAATGGCATCTCCCATGATCAGATAGTGGTTTTGGCTGGAAATTTTACTTTAGCTCAACTCTGCCTCAGGAAGAATCCATTATTCTAGACATCATGTGATGTATCTGTTTGGAATAAAAATGGTGCTTACCTTCCTCCCTGAGATGTGGGAGAAGGTGTCCAAGGTTGTACTGTGAAGTCATTAAGCTCTTAGAAGGCCCCTGCCTGATAGAGCCCAGTGTTATTGATGTTCGTTTTCTTCCTCAAGGCCTGGTCAGCTGTGTCCTGTTGCTCTGGGCAGGGCCCAGGCAGATGGGATGTCATCCCGGCCTGTGAGCCATACTTGATTTCTGCATTGATGTACATGTTTTTACTGTGATTTTGGTCCCAAATACAGAGCTGTCACCTTATTCTTATTGAATGTGCCTGATCCTTGTAAATTCTAATTTGCATACTTGTTGTTAGTGTTGTATGTGTGTGAAACTCTATGTTCATGAAAGAAGTTATAGAGTAAGAACATTTTAGTGCCATTGAAGACATGCTTTTATGATTGCTAATAAATATTTATTTTGCCATGTTATGGTTGTGTTTTATCCTTGTCTTAGGTATGTCAATATAAAGGCGTACTAGAAATCCTAGAATGTTACTCAACATGAGTGGATAAAGGGAAGGCCACTATTTGGACCTGAGGTGTTATTAATTGGTCCTGGCTCAGGGACAGAGCCAGCACACCAAGACATGTTATCTTTGCATGGTGCTTACATGCAAAGTGCATTCATGTCTAGTACCCCAATGGAACTACTCAACAACTCTGGTTGCAGTTTGAATAAAAGGAGACTCAGGGAGTTGAATGACATGCCCAAGGAATCACAGCCAGAAAATATTAGTGTATCAGGATGTATGACCCCCAAGCAGTGCTGTATCTACTGGCTCTCAACTTATTTTGCATGGGCATAAAACTGTGGCTCCACCTGGAGACCAGAACTATAAATCTCTTTGTCTACCACACAGGACCTTTGTGAAAAGGCAATGAGGGAATGGATATGAAAGAGCTGATATTATTATCATCATTATTGCCCAATTCATATGTATATGCATTTTTTTCATTCTTCTGAGTTATTTCATAAGGATGACAGTTCTCAACTTAAATGCCAAGAGACTGCTGTGCCTTGATGGATTGCAGAACTTGCAAACAATTTATCAGTAAGTGATACGCTGTAGTTGGTGAATTATCTACTTAATTCAAATGATTCCCAAAATAACATTTTTCACTGGGATGTGTCTTCTTGAGTGGCAAGAAATGGGAATTGTACATAATCCACATCCTAGTTCAAACAGGCTTCAGCCTACAATCTAGGAATGGAATGTACCATCCATGGGAACATTCTAGATGGATTGATAGAAAAAGGGTGGAAACCACTGTTGCAGAATAAATTCCGGGAGTGGGATGCCTAGGTCAATGAGTATGAACAGTTTGATGGCTCTTGATACTGTGAAAAGTTACCTTCCAAAAGGTACTTTGCAATGTTTTCAGCCTTTGAGACTGTATGATTCCCATTTATAAAGCTCTTTCATTCATATTGGTTATCTTAATAACACAGTTTTGTAGGTTTGATGAACATTACATCTCCATTTAATAAGTGGGAACATTGAGACTTGGAGAGAGATGAAATGACAGGTAAAGGTCAGAATGCTTTTCCCTGGGCTTAAAGATCTAGGTTCTCTGAAGTTTACCGGTAAGCGCTAGTCTGGTAGTATCACTGGGCTTGTATAACAGAATGATCTAGCCTAGCCTGACTCACATTTAAGAATAAGTGTTGTCCACGTAAAGGGAGCGTGGGGGATGGGATAGGATTTCCAGAAGAGGAAACAGTGTGGGCAAAGACTCCAAGGTAGTGAGGGAATTTGGTGCAGTTGAGGATAGAGAAGGCTGGGTGGCAAATTGCTGACAGCAAGGGGAAAGTGACATGAAATAGGGCTGGAGAGGTGGGGAGAGGCCAGCGCACATAGGACTTATCCTGCTGTGGTGAAGCTTTGAGATTTCATATCAAGGGTTAGGGGAAGCCACTAAAAGGTTTTATACAGGAAGATTACTGAATGTGAAATTTCTCTGGTTTTGTATGGGCTTGTAGGCTTAAAAGGGTGTATTTTCTCTCCCTCCACCCCATTCTTTAGGACATAGTGACAGTCTGAAGAATGTGGAATGGAATGAATTTCACCTGGGAGGTGGGACTATGCAGGAAGTGATTGGGAAAGAAGGCAGGGATATTGGTGTAATATGAAGACTTTTCAGTCCAGAAAGAATGTTTGAGCACACTTATTCAACTAAACTTTATTGGGCATTTATTAGATGGCAGACACCAAAAAAGACACTGGTAATGTCCTCAAGATGGGATGGAAGCAGAGAGGGGCACAAGGGCAAGCCAAGAAAGCTTTATAGATGATGTGAGAGCTGAGTTGCCTTTTGAAGAAAAAATAGGAATTAGCTGGAGTGAAGTCTGAATGGGGGAGGGATGGAGGAAGGAAGGGAGAAAATTCTAGGTGGAAGGACCAGTCTGTGTAAGGCATATAGGAACAAAACAATGCAATGTAGACTGAAGCAGAGAGGACCCAAGGGAGATGAATCCGGAGAGATTATGGGGGAGGAACGGGTGGATCATAAAGGACCTTTTGTGTTAGGAATTTGAACTTGAATAATTTATTATTCTGTGCTAGCCATTGTGCTAAGTGATTATATGCATTAGCCTACTTAGTCTTCACAATGATCCCATGAGAGGGGCACTGTTATTATGATCATCCCCATTTTATAAATGAGAAAACCAAGTCTGTAAACTGTTAGAAATAACCAAAATAGAATAAAACTAAAAGTGGTTAAAGCCACACAGCAATATGTTCTTTTGTTTGTTTGTTTTTGTTTTTTTGCTTTTTTATTTTTATTGTTAGTTTCAGGTGTACAGAACAATGCAATAGTTATCCTTTTCACCCTTTACACAGAAACAACCCCTCCCCCATCTACTGCCCTCCCACCCCCGATATCATACTTATCTATTACAATTCCATTGACTCCATTCCCACACCCTACTCCACATCCCGTGACTATATGTGTATATAATTATATTTGACATACAATATTATTCAACATCAGTTCAGAAATACAGTGCGGTGGTCAGGCCTCTACACCGACTATGAAGTGATCTCCTTAACAAGATGTGAGTTCATCTGGCCCCCTAAAAAATATTTACAACATTATTGATTGTATTCCCCAGACTGTCTTTTCTATCTCTGAGGCCATATTGTAGTTACCAATTTGTATTGTCTCGTCCCTTCCCCTTCTCCCTCATCCCCACCCCCTCCCAACTAGCAACCCTCAGTTTTTCCGCTGTGTCTCTGAGACTATTTCTGTTTACATTTCTCATTTATTCAGTTTTTTAGAATCCACGTATAAGTGAGATCATATGGTATTTGTCTTTCTCTTACTGATTTCTGATCTCTGACTTATTTCACTTAGCATAATGTTCTCTAGTTCCATCCATATTGTTGCAAATGGTACGATTTCCTTCTTCTTTATAGCTGAGTCATACTCCATTATGTAAATGTACCATAGTTTCTTAATCCAGTCATCTACCGATGGGCATTTTGGTTGTTTCCAAGTCTTAGCTATTGTGAATAGCGCCACAATGAACATAAGGGTGCATATATTTTTTCGAATTAATGTCTTGTGTTTCTCTGGATAAATACCTAAGAGTGGAATTGCTGGGTCATAAGGTAGTTCCATTTCCAGTTTTTTGAGATACCTCCATACTGATTTCCATAATGGCGGCACCAATCTGCAGTCCCACCAACAGTGCACCAGGGTTCCCTTTTCTCCACAGCCTCGCCAGCTCTTGTTGTTTGTTGATTTATTGATGATAGCCATTCTGACTGGAGTGAAGTGGTATCTCATTGTAGTTTCTATTTGCATTTCCCTAATGATTAGTGAGGTTGAACATTTTTTCATATGCTTGTTGGCCATCTGTATGTCCTCTTTAGAGAAATGTCTCTTCATATCCTCTGCCCATTTTTTAATTGGGGTTTTTTTTGTGTGGTGTTGAGTTGCATGAGCGTTTTACATATTTTGGATATTATCCCCTTATCAGATATCTCGTTGACAAATATCTTCTCCCATTCAGTAGGCTTCCTTTTTGTTTTGTTGATGGTTTCCTTTGTTGTGAAAAAACTTTTAAGTTTGATGTAGTCCCATATGTTCATTTTTTCTTTTACTTCCCTTGTTGGTGGGGATGTATCAGGAAAAATATTGCTCAAGGTAATGTCTGCAAATTTAGACCCTATATTTTCTTCTAGGAGTTTTATGGTTTCAGGTCTTATATTTAAGTCTTTAATCCATTTTGAATTTGTTCTTGTATATGGCATAAGGAGTTGGTCCAGTTTCATTTTTTGCACATGTCAGTCCAATTTTCCCAGCACCATTTATTAAATAGACTGCCTCTACCCCAATGTAAATTCTTGCTTCCATTGTCATAGACTAACTGCCCATATATGCCTGGATTTAATTCTGGGCTTTCTATTCTGTTCCATTGATCTATGTGCCTGTCTTTATGCCAGTACCATACTGTTTTGATTACTGTAGCCTTGTAGTACATTTTAATGTCTGGAAACATGATCCTCCCGACTTTGTTCTTATTTCTCAGGATTGCCGTGACTATTCAGGGTCTTTTTTGGTTCCATATAAATTTTAGGATTATATTTTCTATTTCTGTGAAAAATGCCCTAGGTAGTTTTGAATCTATATATTGCTTTATGCAGTATGGACATTTTAACTATATTAATTCTTCCTATCCATGAGCATGGTAGGTTTTTCCATTTGCTTGTATCTTCTTTTATTTCTTTCTTCAGTGTCTTATAATTTTCAGAGTATAGGTCTTTTACTTCTATGGTTAAATTTATTCCTAAGTATTTTATAGTTCTTGAAGCGATTGTAAACAGAATTGTTTTCTTAATTTCTCCTTCCAATAGTTTATTATTGGTATATACAAATGCAACTGATTTCTGAGTATTGATTTTGTATCCTGCTACCTTACTGAATTCGTCTA